GTGTGACCTCCTGTTTGAGCTAACCAGCCTGGCTGCCTCTGTTCTGCCTGACTGATTTCAGCAGTGGGGGTGGAGAGTGATGAAATGATACTCCGAGGAAGTGAAAGTCAGTACTCCGGTAGGGGGTTTTGGGTTTTCTTTTCTTACACCAAGAAGATGAAAAGCTTGCCCAGCATCCTTATCTTGGCTAATGTGCTTGCCAGAGAGTTGGATATTCCCCTGAGCACCATCTTTCCTGAACACAGAGTGCTACAGATGTGTTACCCACAATCACCAGCACAGTTCCTGAAAGGCAAAGAGATCCACCTATTTCTGGTCGCAAGAATCTTGCCTCCCCTCTCCAGGTAGGGTGAGGGACTCTGGACTGCCAAAGATCAATTCCACACAGACCAGGGATTTCCATAAACACAGAGGGTGAGGTAAGTGTTGTGGAATCTGGGATGTGGAGAGAGATTGTCATATGCCACCTGCAAGTAAGAAGCAACATATCCCAGGTCTGAATGTGTTCATGGCTCAGATCAAGTGTCATGCAACCCCCTAGGGTTGTGGCAGGATTCAGTACCCTTGGAGCACTTCCTGTCCACTTGGCATCAGTGGAGCTTTGTTTTAACTTGATACTGTTGATGGACAAAACCTGGCTGTGTTGTACAAAATCCACCCAGGGCAGGAGTGTAGAAGGTGTTGTCTGTCTGTCCATGATGGTGTGATTCCACAGGTATGAGAAACTTGACATTTATTTCAGTTTTATGTGAAATAAAAATGCAGATATCTTAGATGTTCCAAACTGAATGTCAAGGGGCTCAACTGTGTGGATCTGCAAGTTGATTGAGTTCTTTCAAATTCTACAACTAGCCCCAGACTCAAATCCATCCAGGTCCTGTTTTAGTGGTGAACTGTCATAGCTACCATTTTCTGACCACTCAGTGATCCCTGTGAAATGTTGAGAGGTGCAAAAGCCAAAAGACTAGTCCTGGCATTGGTACTGGAGGCAGCTTGACTGAGAGCTCAAAACAAAGAGCAGCTGAAGAGTGTGTGTTGTTGCTATCTGTACAAGCCGCTCAGAGCTCGAGTGGCAAACTCTTGATTCAGCTTGGGAGCCTGAGCTGCAGCCAGGCCCATGTAACAGGTTTGTCAGCAATGGTGCAGTGAGATTGGGATGGAGCTGGAACCTGTCAGGCAAGTGAAATGCTGGATCAAAGCTTCTCCAGTTTTCCAAAGTTTCTCTAATAAAGGTCAGCTATATTAGAGAGGAAGAGGACTGTCTGAATAAGCTCTGGCCTCTATCCCTGAGCACTAATCCACCTTTAAACACAAACTCCTCTGTTCGGTGGTGGATTTGCAATGAATTTTACTTTGCTTTATTTCAAAGCAATCACAAGGTGAAATGGGTGTGTATCTAGCCATCGGGCTGGGATTGCTTCTGGATTGGAGCTGTAAGCAATGACTGCATGAAAAATATATGTTTATGGTTGGTTATGTCTAAAATCTTGGGCAGGTGGTGGTACAAAAGCTTCTTAGACTGTAACTAAGGCTACTTGCATAACTTACACATATTCCCAATGATGTTTCCATCAGATTAGAGATAAAGGGTTTCCTTCTTACACCAGACCAACCTCCCTAAGGAAAATAGAGGAAACTTCCATTGTTTACAATAAAATGTGTTTATTTCCCCACTCTTTGTTACAATAAGCTTTTGGTGATAGATGGGAGCAGTACAAAGCTGATGTCTTGCCTGACAAATTGGATCGGTGTGCAGATTGTCTGGGAATGCTGGGAGAGAGGGTGTGCATGTTCTTATAGGGAAATCCAGAGAGAAGACCAGCCCAGTCATTCAGCACACCTTGGCAAGAAACCTCTGGGGAGCAGAGGCACAGCCTCTGCCGCTCTCGGGCATCTCGCCATGCGGTTCCTCAGGATAAGGCTCCCTAAAATTGCCCGAGCCCTGATTTGCCTCATTGTGGTCATACAGTTTTGCATCTTCATTGCCAATTTCAGCTCTTTGTTTGACTTGGCGAAGACAAAGATTTGCAGGTAAGAGACCTGCTTCCTCCCCCTGTGCCCTGCCTGGGTAGAGTGGCTGTGCTTGCTTTCTTCCTCTGTCTCGGTGTCTTTTTCACCATGAAATTTGCACTTCTGACCTGAGTTTGGTGACCACTTTACTCTAGCAGACCTTGTACATGGTGTTGGAAGATCCACAGTCAAAAACCTGCTTCTGCTGGCTCCCTAGTTTCCAGAGTTTCCCTTATGTAGCTGTTTAAGAAAGCAGCTTTTGCTTTACTAATGGTACCTGTTTTCATACTTAGGCACTACGTAGGGTTTGCCTTTCCTGGTGGCTACCAGAAGGAGCTCATTCAGCCTTAATCCACATTGCATTGTTGGAGAGTGAATTTGTTGAGATGCCTTCATATTTATAGCAAGTTCAGCAGCTGATTAGTAACACAAATATGCTGCATACCAGGGGACCAAAGTCACGTAGACTTGATCAATCTATCTACGTAATTATATAAATGGTCAAGTAAATCCTACAGGAATGAGTTTGGAGGGAATTGCAATGTAGACTGCAGTGAAATCTCTACAGCACCACAGGCAGGGAGCACTGTTCCTTGCCTGAGCACTGGAGACACCTGAGCCTTTCCCAGTACATGTATGGCTTGCAGGTGTGTTGGTGCTGTGTATAGAGCGCTTCATTCCCCACCACCCCCATCTGGTTTCAGCCCTCCCAGTGAGCACATCTGGCCTGGTTTGGTGGGGTTAGTTCTCAGCTGGATCTCTCAGGGCTGATGCTGTGGGGGTAGGCAGGAAGACTGAGGCTGGGAACATCTGCGTCTCTTCTGGGGGTGGCATGAGTTTAGCTCGGCTCTAGCAGCTTGAGACCACACCTTGAGGACAGCTATCAATTTGGAGAGATCAGAAGCTGCACAAGGGAGGCCATAGAGGGGAAAGAAGCAGTATGTGTAGAGAAGTGAAACGAGTTGTCTTTGATCCCAGAGCCCATTGGCGGCAGAGCTGGGACCAGAACTGGCTCTCCATGTCCAGCTGCTAGAAACCATCTCATTCTGCCATAGTTTCAGACAATGGCCATGCCTGGATTTTTGTAACTTAAGTAAAACACAACCAGGTGTGAGCTGTGCGTGGTTATCTGTGTGGCAGCTCCATTTCCTACCTTTATGTAAAACACCCAAAGCAGCGTTAATGGCTGTATCCTCTATTTGTCCTTGGACTTCTTAAAAGAAGTGGAAAATAAGAGTAAACATAGTTGAGCTTCTGCAGTTGTTTGCCAGCTGGACTCTAGACCCTGAAATTCAATGAGCTGCCTTGGCCATTTGTCTGGGTTTAAAATGCTGGTCAGGAGAACAGAGTCTGTGTAGGCACCAGTGCCTGGCCATGGGGGCCTGACTGCAGGGAGCAAGGTTTGGGATGTGCAGGGTGTACATTTTGGTCTCTGTTTGGCACAGAATTTGAAATTAAAGTTTGAAATCTGCCCTGTGAGCCAGTGCATAGGGAAAGTCTGGAGTGGGGGGTGGTTTGTCGTCTTGTCCTGTTTCATTTATTCTCTGCCCTTTCATTTCAAAGTTTTAAGCATCACCTTAAAAACACAACAGAAACTTACCAAGGGATTTATCATCTGCCTGAGCTGCCTTACCAATTTTTTCTGTGCTTAGATTGTACATATCTTGCTCTTGTTGGGCAGTAAACAGTAGCACAAGTTTATGCATGAAGCACTGAGATAGAAAGCACAAGCTGTATATTTAGTTGAAACTGGCTAATGATTATGAGAGAGGCAGAGCTGATAGGCCATTTACCACAAACTTTCTTGTTTAGCTTTGCAAAGGTTCACCTATTTATCTGATACGAAATTTTTTATGAAAGCCTTCTTAGTAAATCATTTCCCAAACACTTTCAGAGTGGTATGACATCACTGAATTTTAGCAGCAATCTAACTGTTATCTACAGCCCGTTATCTGCAGAAATGCTTTTTTGCCATTTATCACCTCGGAAGCAATCCACAGCATTGCAAAACAAATGTGTCATGTGAAGACAGAACACGAGTGTGAAATCAAACTGCCACAACGACGCTGGTTTAGCCTGAAAAGCTTTGCTGTACATAAAAGCTCAGCTGCAGAAATTTTTCACCTTCCTGTTTCCTGTTCCACCCTCCAGCCATGTGCAGATAAGGATGAATGTTTGGGACAAAACCCACCACTTATGCCTCGATTTTTTTTTCTTTTTTCCACTGGGTTTCAGCCCAGTCCTGTTGCAGGTGGCTCTGCTGCTGTTGGCAGAGGTGTCCTCCTGTGATATCCTTGTACCTGCCTGTGCCTCTGAATCAGGCAACAAGACAGCTGCAATATTAGAGCAAAGTGGGGAAAAATGTAGAGGGTTTGCATTTTAATACCTTCAAAGGGTCTGACACGTGTACCTGGTGAGTGCTGCATGATGCCATTGCATGAGCTGGCTAAGGGGGAGGAGGAGAGGAAGAAATGTTCTGTGGCCCCAAATGCTCAAGAAGCGATGTAGGGTAAAGGAGTGAGTTTCACTTCTTAGACTTCCCTTGCTGAATTCTGGAAGATCTTCATGCTCTGTTGCTGAAGCACATGGCTCTGCTGGCAGAGGAGAGAGCCAGATGGCTGCCTTTGTGATGTGTGCCATGTCCTGGGCTCAGGATCTCCAAAACAGCCCTGCAGTGCTTGGGGACATTGCCAGGAGTCCTGCCCCGTGCAGGGCAAAGCTGTGCTGTACTGGTTGGCAATTACTGCCAGCATGAATGTCTCATGAGCTAAGTGCTGAGGAGGAGTGTGTGCCTCTGGGATTTGCTTAGCGGGGTGATAAGCAGCATTGAGGCCGGAATGGTGTAGGAAGTTGAATAACACTTTGACAAAGTTCAAAATGAAATTGCTCTAAACCACAGAGAGAGGCTCAGAGTCAAGAGCACTAGAAATGGGCTGGAGGGTGTTCAGTGTGAAGCAGAATGAGTGTGTGATGTGTCTGCTTTTCCTTTGATTGCATTCAGTCAGTTGAGCATTTTCTGCCATGGCTCAGATACGCAACAAGTGAACACCCAAGAGCAACATGGTCTGAACTATTCCGATAATGGGAACTCCAGGAGGTTTTTAAAGGTGACTTTGGGGAGAGACATCACAAGGCTCAAACAGGATGTAGTGGAGAAGACAACAAAGTGGAAAGGAAAAGAGGAGCAGAAGAAAATGATAGAACCACTTCCCAGGGTGGAAGGAACCAAGGAGAACTTGGCTGTGAAACCACCACCCCAGTTACAGGAAATCAAGAATACAACAGTGAAAACAGCCCCAGTGGTGCAGGGAAGCAAGGAGAAAACAACAGTGAGACCAGCTCCAGGGATGGAAGAAGCCAAGGAAAAAACAACAGTGAAATCACTTCCCAGGGTGGAGGGAGCCAAGGAAAAGGCAACAGTGAAACCACTCCCTGGGGTGAAGGGAACTCCTGAAAACAACCCACCCAAAGACCAAGCAAAACCAAAAGGACCTCCTGCATCAATAAAAACTGTAAGACCTGTTCCTCAGGCTGCTGCAGTGACAGAAAAGAGGAAACTGAGCATTGCTAACTTCACATCTGAGCCGCACTGGGATTTCGAGGACCAGTACCTGCTGGACAACTCATCTCCACCCTCGGTAGGTGTGATGGTGTGTATGTTCACCAAGAATGATGCCTCCCCATTGACCTCCTTGTCTGCTGTCCCCTGGGCACATGTGCCCTTTGCAGTTGAGGATGATTTCTAAGCTGGTCGGTCAACTCACTGGTATATGCAGGTGCTGCTGGGACCCAGAGAGAGAGACATCTATGTACAACTCAGCTCTGGTATGGGAACTTACTGCAACTGTATGTGTTTCCATGGGTTCCTTTGAAAGTCAGCCTGAACAGCTCTTTCTGGAGCTCAGAATCATCAGAAGCTGGGGAAAATCACTCTCCTTTTAGATGTAGCACAAGGTGGTCCCACTCTTAGGTACCTTGATACATTGCATGAGGGACACACAGTGCACCTTATGTGTTCCCTGTGATGTGGTAGGTTGTGTCACACCCAGTCTTGTGATGCCTATGGGCAGGCACTAGGTGTCTGGCAGGAAATGTAATCTTCATACAGGTGTCCTGTTTCTCACCTAATCTCTTGAGAAACTGAACATCTGCATTCACATGAAGACTCAAGTTAATCAAACTTAACGATCTCATAATTACTAGTGTCCAGGGACAGAGCCTTTAGGAAGCCTCCTCCCCCTTAGTCAGCTCATGCAATGGCATCATGCAGCACTCACCAGCAAGTAGGTGGGACAGGTTGTAGAGCCCAGTACTGTCCCTGTCTCCCATCCTATGCTGGTAACTCTTTGTAAAGCTTACCCAGAGCAGTTTTCCCTGGCACCCTTGTTGCTGGAAGGCTTGGATAGATGGGTTACCCTCTCACGTGTTTGGGTCTGGCTCCCAAACCTGATCTGTGAATTGCAGAGAGAGCCTAGGAAGCACTCCCAAATTCTTAATTTTTTACGTGACCAGAGTTTTCCCCAGTTCCTCTGGTATTTATCTAGTCTAGCTGTAGAGGCACAAGAAGTACCAAGCCTTGGACCGTACCAAGTACAACTTGAGCAGGAAGGGAATGTGCCCGTCAATGGACATGAAATGTGCTGTGAGTGAAATGATGCCAACATGAAAACCTCCACAATGTTCTCATTGTACTCCTGTGGTGAGAGGGAGAATGAGGGCTGTCTCCTCAGGCTGTGACTGGGTTGTCATCCTCACCTGTAGCAGAGGCTTTGGCAGTGCAGTCATGGCTGGGGATTTGTGCTGGGCATGGTCTCCTGTTTTGCCTTTCAGTACATGTCTAAGATGTCTAAGAAAGCAGAGGCCAAACTGACTCAGCAGAAAATTCAGTGTAGTGGAAGTGTTTGCTTTCCATCTGCACGCACAGACTAACTCTTGCCAGCTGCAGTGAGACCCTTCTTGTAGGATAAGCTGGCTTGGGTTCCCTTCTTAGCTGCACGTTTCACTGCTTAATTTATGACATCAAACAAGTTGTTGCACATTTTTTCTTAACTTTAAAGGGAGTAGTAATGGTGATCTGACCTTGCATGTTCCTCTGTGTTTCCTCAGGTGTGCTCTGAGGACCTTGTGAGGTGTGTTGCCAGAAGGGACTGTCAACCTTATTTGGAACATTTAGGTTAGACCTTATTGCAGATGTAAATTTGCATGAGTTAAGGAGGCCAGTAAAGCATTTAAGCATCACAGGCCTGTTGTTCTGAAGAGCAAAGTCTCATAGACTTGGAGTAATTCTGGCTCCCTTGTAGGTGACTTTTCACCAGCTAGTTATGGACATAGCGCTGAAATTGTGCTTCATGTTCATGGTGTGGGGACTCTGAGGGGAATGGATGATGTACCACTGGAGTTTGTTTCTTTCTGATCCTGTCAGATGCAGGCACACAAGCCCTGGCACTCAGTCGGGTTTATCAGCTCTCTGCTCATCAGTCCTTATTGTTTCCTTTTGTTTTTCAAGACCTGCTCTGAATCAGTGAAGGTCAAAGTTGCCAAGTCTGACTGGCTGCGGGATCTCTTCCTGCCCAACATCATGCTCTTCACAGACAGGAGATTCTTCAGTGACAGTGAATGGCAGCGCCTGGAGCATTTTGTACCCCCATATGGCTTCATGGACCTGAATTATTCACGTGAGTCCCTCAGGGCTTGTCAAGATGGGACCATCATCCTCCCAACAGGAACCTGATGCCAAGTAGCTGGAGGTTTGCAGCATCTCCCTGCCAAAGGCATCAGGCAAGGTGGATCTCATGGTGGAAACTGTGGTGGTTTCACTGTGTCCATTCTAAAGCCTCTTGGTAACTCACCACTGTGTTTTCTTCACAGTGGTGAAGGAGGTCATATCCCAGCTGCCCCCAAATCCTCACCAGCAGCTGCTCCTGGCCAACAGCAACAGCAGTGTGCCAACATGCATCAGCTGTGCTGTTGTGGGGAATGGAGGAATATTGAATAACTCTGGGATGGGCCAAGAGATTGACTCCCATGACTACGTCTTCCGGTAAGGCAGGTTTCCTTCTCAGAAGATGCACAGCTTATTCTGGCAGGTAACTGTGGTTGGATCACTTCATCTCTTCTAGTATTGCACTGACTCTCAAGTGCCACAATGACTGATGGCAGGAGGTGAAAAATCTAAAAGCAATTGAAAAATTCCTAAACACACAGAGCCTGTGTGCACGGATGGGCCATGAAGAGCCATCTCCAAAGCAGGGGCTTTCCTGCAGATCAAAGTGGAGCTCAGAAGGGGCCTAGTCCTCCCTTCCTCCAGACTAATGCTGTCTTTTCCTGTTAGGAACATGAATATGAGGGTTTTGAGTGGTCCCTAACTCTGCTCTTCTGTTTGATTTCCTTCACCAGGGTGAGCGGGGCTGTAACCAAAGGTTATGAAAAAGATGTGGGGACAAAAACCTCATTTTATGGATTCACAGCCTACTCCCTGGTTTCCTCTCTTCAGATCTTGGGACACAGAGGGTTCAGCAACATCCCACATGATGAAGTAAGTTAGGTTCATGCTGTATGCATGAACAGCTTTCACAGAATCATAGAATTTTAGGGGTTGGAATGGACCTTACAGATGATCATCTAGTCCCAACCCCCTGCCCTGGGCAGGGACACCTCCCACCAGAGCAGGTTGCTCAAGGCTTTATCCACCCTGGCTTTGAACACTGCCAGAGTTGGGGCAGCCACCACTTCCCTGGGGAACCTGTGCCAGTGTCTCACACTTATCCTTTGACAGGATGCTGTTTGCCTGTGGCCTTCACTTCTGACCTTGCCATGCATGAGGAGCACAGAGTTGAGCCAGCACTTTAGTATTACCCTCAGTGAAGGAACCTGCACTGGCTTGGCTCAGTGTTTGCAGTGACACGCTGTGTCAGTGCCACCCCAGCCTCTTGGCATGTAGAAGTGGCTGCACATCAGACCTTATCTCCATTCTGCTTCTGTGAGCTAGTTGAAGGCTGCAGACTGAAGATGTGTGTCTAGGAAACTCAGTGAGCCTAGATGTCTGCTTGCACTTTGTTTTTAAAGGAGGTGTCTCTCATGCTGTTCTTTAATGCTCACTTGTTTTCTTAGCATGTCAGATACATTCACTTTCTGGAGGGAGCTAGAGACTATGAGTGGCTGAAGGCTTTTCTGCTGAACAAGGTCATCAGGAAAGGAGTCTCCAACTTTGGCGGGTAAAACAAACTAACTCCACCTCTACAGCCTTCAGTGAGGAGCTCTCTGTTGTGCCTTTCTCCTCTCCACAGTGCTCAGCCCTGCGGAGGGGCAGCCCAGAGTAAAGCCAAGGTAAAGCCTCCCTCTCCTGGGAGACTTGTTTGGAGAAACATCTCATTTCCTCCACAGTTCTGAGCACTGCTGTAACCAATACACCTCCTTCCCAGAGGTGGCTGATTTCAATGATGTGTACACAGAGCTTGGAGAAAGATTTGTGAGCCTCTGGGACGAACACATGCTGTTGTTGGTGTGTGTACATAGTGGCCTGCTCATGGATTCACCTGGTTTCACCAATTCTTGCCTATACAAACATGCTTTTGCTATTCCTGTCTCCTGCTGTTCCTCTCCTACCTGATCTCTTCCTCTGCAACGCACACAGGCTATGGAGGCTTTGGGAAATATTGCAAGATAACTTCACAGTGTTTGTGGTTCTTCTCTTACCACCAAGTGCATCAGGGCTGATCCTTTCCAGCTGTGATGAAGTGTAGGCACTTGTCCTGAGTCTCCCCATTCCTGACCTTAGGCACAAACCTCGGCAGATGTTTGATAAAGATTTCACAATGGACAAGTACCTGGTGGTTCACCCTGATTTCATCAGATACGTGAAAAACAGGTGAGTTGGGGGTTATGTGCTCTAACAGACTTGTTTTTTTTCTAGCCAGCACAATCTCTGTCTGTCTCTGGGCTCTTCTCCAAGCTCACTCCCTTGTAACCACAGCTCAGCCACACCAGCAACCTTGGGGTTATCTCCAGCAGTGTGCAGGCAGTTGAAATTCTCTGTGGTGCTGCACTGGGATGTGAGTGGTGGGTAGACATCCAGAATCTGTGAGCTGGAGATGCATCAGCTGTTGGACAGATTTGCTTTCTGCATCCAAAAGGGATCCTGGACAAATGGCAACTTTAGGTGTGGGAAGAGTATTGCTGAAGTACCAGAATAGCTGGTCTAGTTGAGGATCAACCTTTCATGTTCCCCATTGCTTAGCACCTTGGAGGGAGACTTTGTAACAGACCTTCTCTCCAAAGATCCCTTCAAACATGATAATAGGCCCTTTCTCAGTGTTCCATTTGCCTGGCCCAACCTCTGCTCTTCTGTACCTCTCCAATCCTTTCCACAAGCCTGCTGGCCACTGTCATTGTGAGATCTGCCCATCATGGGCCACACGTGACTGGGAGATGTAGGAACAGGAGCTCCTGTTGTGAGCTGTTTTGGCTGCCTTTACCCTTCAGTCTCCTTGAGAGCTGCATTCTGCCTTCCCTGAGAGCCAGATGGCCAGTACCTCCCTGCTCATTCTGCTGTCTCCCCTCTGACTTGGAGCCTTTCCAAGGCCAAGAGGGCTCAATGCTATTTTTGCCCAGTGTGGACTCCTACCTTCCTAATAACTCCTGGCACAACACACTGCAGCTCTTGGCAGGTTTTGTGATCCCCCTCTCCACCTTTGCTATGTCTTGTTTCACTCCTAGATGTGGATGGGAAGCAGGATATACCAGGGAGCATCAAAGCCACTTCTGCACTGCAAGGCGAAGGACAGATTTAAGAGTGGTGGGCTTTAACCTACTAGATCCTTTAATCCATCCCCTGTTTACTCCATTGCCTCAAGACTTCACTTCCATAAAGCTGGGGCAGAGCTGGGCTTAGGTTGCAGTGCAGGTGATGGTGAATTCTACACTGACCTTGTGCTTTACAGAACACGTGTTGGAATCCTTGTGGCATCTTTGAAATGTCTCCTATGACCACAAACTGCTTCAAGGAGGAAAGATGCCACAGAGGCTACAGGAGGACAAGGTGTGCACAGCTTGAAACACCACACCCAGCAACTGCTCTGTGCTTTCTTCTCTCCTTCTGCAGGTTTTTAAAGTCTAAAAATCTGGAAAAACGCTACTGGAGGCTGTACAGACCCACAACTGGGGCCTTCCTGCTGCTGACTGCTCTCCATCTCTGTGACCGGGTAAGGGCATGGTGATTCTTGCACCCAGCACTGTCTGGAAGGGGGATAGGGGTCAGGGGAGAGCAGGGGTGGCTACAACCCTGCCTACTATCTGCCTTGAGAGTGTAAGGGCTTGTATCAGCTGTGGATGAGCAGGCTGAAGACAAGAGAAATGGCCCCAAAATAGCTCACACAGAGGTTGTGAAGCCCACTGTGACCTACAGCATATGACCCCCCAGGGAGGCAGAGAGAGGATAACAGGATCTCTGGTACCAATGTTCATAGTCTGGTCCTTCTGCACCCCCATGCAGGGTCACCAGGGGAGCCTCAACTGGCATCTCTGTCCTATGCTCCCTCCCTGTTTGGGAACTGTGTCCTGTATTTCACTTAGCCTTCTCTGTCCTTGGTACCCTGCCCAGTGAACTCTCCATCTTCCCCAGGTGAATGCCTATGGCTACATCACAGAGGGGTACAAGAATTACTCGGATCACTACTATGACAAGAGCTGGAAACCTCTGATTTTCTACATTAACCATGACTTCAACCTGGAGAAGCAGGTGTGGAAAAAGCTTCATGATGAGAATATCATGAAGCTTTACCAGAGATCCTGATTGTGTGGCAAGGGCCTGGGAAATCTCAACAACACTTCACTAGGAATGGAAAAGCATCACCAGAGCCAAGGTTAGCTCTGGACTGCCAGGCACATTTCATCCCCACAAAAGATATTTCCCTTCTTCAGCACCTCTATTCTTTCACAACACTTCAACAACTGTGTGAATGCTGCAGACCCAGAGAAGAACAACAAGAAAATGCAGTGTGCCAACATCCCATCTGGTTGTACTGCAAGATTCTTCCTGGTGGTTGTAGGCACTGGTACTGGGAGAGCAGAATCCAGGATGGACCTGGGTAGCATATGGTCCAGGGTCCTGTATTTAATCCTGGTTTTCTCTCTTTGCAAGGAGATGCTCCTCAAGCTGGAGCTACTTCTGGGTAGATCCTCTCCATTAGTGATGCCCATTTTGGAGTTGAGTGTTGTCTAAACAAGTTCCCTCAGGAGCCAGTAGATTGAGGTGGACACACAGATCCTGTCTCAGGTTAATTTCTGAGGTACTGCTCTCACTCTGCTCCCTGTGGATAAAAAGGAGAGACTGGACACTTCCAGGTGACTAATTTGAGAGAGAATGAGTCTCACTTCTGCTTCCCAGTGTGGCCTTGTCATGACACTTCTGAAGGGGCAGTGCCATCAGCTCAAGGGCAGGTCCCTGCTCTCCACAGTGCAGCAGACATGCTGTACCTGGTGCCTCTTGCTCCAGGGCTCCCCGACAGCACAAAATGTGAATTATGTGGCATGGTCCTGGTGTGCCAAGTCCTTGCTTAGCTGGACTTCGTCATGCTTGGCTCCCAGCTGTGTCCAGAGCACTGTGTTTGTTCTCTTGCCAGGGGAGGTAGGAGCTCTCCAAGTCCAGGAATGGATGCTATCCATCCTTGCTGCTGGCTGGAGTGCCTGTGCCCCATGGTGCTGAGAGGAGCCCAGCTGCAGCCAGCACACCTGCAGCATGTTGGCCTTCTGAAATGGGTTTTATAAACAAAATAAATGGTGCTTTGACCAAGCTGATCTTTCATTGCAGCCCTGTGGGTTGTGGTTATTTAGTGCACCCAGAGCAGTGGCTTTAAAGGCTGAGATACTGCAGATGAAGCTAGGAAAGGTTCATGAGAATCCCTCCTTGTGCAGGAGCTCTGTGGCTTGTATGGACACACCTGAGCATCCTCCACTTGTTCACCTTGCTGTTGCAGGATAGGGATCTGAGCTGGCCAAACACTTTCCTGAAGAAATGGGTAAACACTTGGAGAGGTTGTCTTTGTCCCAGCAACTGCTTTCCAAGTACATCAGATGCTCAAGGCAAATGCCTGAAGGGCTGGATGGTTCCCCTGAGACATCATGCAGACAAAAAGCCACATCCAGTGTCCAAGCAGGTGTCCAGTGCATCTCCCTAGATTAACAGGCTCTGGATTGGGACCTGGGAGCACACTGACTGGTCCCAGCAGACCTGATCTGGCTGTGAGTATTTTTTCCACTTCTGCAGCATTTTGGACGGGGGCAGCAGCGTCTCCAGGGACCCCCTAGGCTCCGAGAGAGGCATTTCAGCCAGGATTGTCAGGCTTGATTTCCTTTGTCCCTTTTTCCTTGTGCTGCAAGAGAGGCCAGGCAGTTTCTCATGTCTCACTGAGCTTGTTTGCTAGGGACGACCCCCCACACCGAGAACTGAAATGCAGAATTCAGTGCCTCTGGGAGAGGGTGTAGCCTGTGTTTGGCTGCTCTCCCCTTACAAGCCTCCAGCGGCACTGGGAACAGGGAGTTATCCAAAACGCACAGTGCCTCAGTTGGGAAAGACGTAGCCCTGTGTGAACACCAGGGCCATGGGTTTGGAGGAACCACAAGTCCTTCCTAAGGATTCTCCTCCTTTTGGAGGCCAGAAATCTTTCCTGAGCAGGAAACAAGGAAACCTGATGGAGTCTCCAGAGCTGACCAAGGAGGAACTCCTGCAGCCAGGCACTCTGGAGCCTGTGGGTGTCTCAGCCCCTCGCGGTGGCTGTGCAGGGTTGGTGTCCCCAGGCTGTCCCTGCCCAGCACTCTCCTGGCCAGGCTCTGGGTGGGCAGTGAAGCAGTTTTGTTCCTTGCCCATCCTTCAGGCTGTACCAGATTGCTGCGTGTTGCTTAGTGACCAGCTCCACACGGGCATTCTCCCTGCCTGAATAGGGCTTTTCTCTTCCCGACAAGTTGGAAGAAGTTTCTCTTAGACCCTTCCCCCTCCTCCTCTTTTGTTTTCTTCTCCTCTGGGAAGCAGGATGGGGCTGAGGCGGGTAGCCCCCAGCCCACACTTTTCTCCAGTGCTGAGGCTTCCCAGAGTCAAGGGAAGGAAACTTCCCAGGAGACTTTCCCCACCAGCAGAGCCTGTTCCCTCCAAGCTTTTCTCAACACAGCTGGCACAGTTTGATGTTATCAGGGATAATCTCGGCTGGAGAAGGTCCTTTGTTGTGGTCAGTTTCCCAGCAAACTCAAAGCCACATCCTCTCTGGTCCCAGGAAAGCAGCTCTGACCTAGTGGTCCCTTACACCTCCTCACTTTGTCCTGTCCCATCCCCCTGCACCAAGGCATCACATCCCTCCATGGGCTGGCCAAGGTGTGGCACACACAGGGACACATCCTCTGGAGCACAAGTCCAGCTATGCCTAACCAGAGTCACCTAATCTTGTGGCATCAGATCCAGAGCAGCCACAGGAAGCTGAGGGGGCTTGGAGATAGCATTTCCCAGCCAGCTTCAAGCTTGGTACAGACTAATGGAGCAAAGCCTGTGGAGGACAGCTACAGCATGAGCATCCTTGGCAAGATCCAGGATCTGTGAATGGGGTGAGTATCCCAGGGCAAAAGCAGCACTGCTGGGGTGTGCCAGAGGAGCCTCCTCAGAGCAGCTGGACAGAGCCAATGCCATGCTGGAGGGCCACCCCAAATGTCCCCATCCAGGTCCCCGTGGCTGGCAGGCCAGCAGGGCTGTCCCCGTGCCACCAGGTGGCAGCTCCTGTTGAGGGACCTGTCAGCATGGTGCCATGTTTGGCACATCTCCACTCCTGGTCAGGCCAGCCCTGCTCTCTGGAGCCTACCCCAGTTTGGGCTGACCCTGAGCAGGGATGAGATGGGCTCTGCACTGTGTCATGAGGCTTGGGGTACCTGCTAGTGCTGGACACGTCCAGACTGGACACCAGCATCAGGCTTCCCAGCATGGAGCAGGTGCTCCCTCTGGATCCATCACTCTCCAGCTGCTGTGGCTGAGTGGATGCTGTGGGAGTGTAGCAGAGGTGCCTGCTCCAGGTGCTGGTGACTTGCCAGATGCTATTTATGTTCCCTGATTGCAGAGAGGTTTGGGGCAGGCCTTGTGTGCACAGGGGTGGGGGATTCATCCTCCTCACCTCTGCCGTGTGGACCTTCTCCCTTCGTTGGGGATGTAGTAGCAGGTAAATCCAGTTGGACCAGAAAAACTATTGATAATAGGGGAGGGAGAACAAGATAAAGGAGAAGCCCATGGCTTTGTTGTGCAAAAAGCACCAGCTGATCTGCCTTGGAGACCTCACCTCCAGCTGCTGGGGCAGGGCCCTGCAGGTAAACACCTCCTGGGGGTACAGCAGCCCCTGCTTCCCACAGCAAGGGGCTGTGGTAGTCTGGGCTCCTCTGCCAGGCTGAGTAACAGGACCTTAGGTGTTGCAGGGCTTTTCCAGCTTGGCATGACCCAGAAAATTCTGAAAAGACACTTTTTGAGTCCTGAGGACATCCCAATTTTCCCTCCATCCTATCCCATGCAGCATCAGGTGGGACCACGCAGGCAGACAAGGTGCTGATGCCCATCCACACTTGGAGATGGTGTTCCTCTCCACAGCTGTGATCTTTGAGGACACAGCCTGGCCTGGCCTCAGGGACTGTTTGCCCTGCTAAGAACAGGGCATGATTAGTCCACATCTGCTCTGCCTTATCCAGAACCAGCAAGAAGGGGGAAGGCAGCGGTTTGGATTGTCACCCTAATTTCTCAAGGGTGTTTCCCAGCTCTGCACCTCTCCAGGGCATAGCCCAGAGCCTCACAGATTGCCTCATGCCAGTGGAGAAGGGATAACCTTTGAACTGTGTGTTTGGCTTATCTCAGCCCTGGTCAGCTGTCCAGGGCTGGCCAAGGCCTCCGTCATGCGCAGACATCTGTGATAAGAGCCAGGCTGGGCATAGCAGTGCCACAGGGACCGAGCCAACATGAGCCACATCCTGCTACTAAACGAGGTCCTGACCTGCCACCTTGGCCTAGGGCTCATCCCCACAACCCTCCTGCTTTAGGGAGGAGCAGGAGGGCAGTAAATGATGTGTTTCCCTGATGGACCATATCCTGCCACACTATCACAAAGAGAAGCACACCAGCTCAGTTTCACTGCACAGCTGCACACTCGAGCCTGTTTCCCCACCACAGTGCAAGGCAGAAGGGCAGAGCCTGTTGCTGAGAGCTGCAGGTTCCATACTGAGCACAGCCCTGAGCACCTCTGGTCCTGCAGTGGTGTGGTGCTACCAAACTGCTGTCATCCCCATCTCCAGGCATCGTCCATGTGAATCATAGAATTTTTGGGGTTGGAATGGACATTAGAGGTCATCCAGTCCTGTCCCCCCGCACTGGGCAGGGACCCCTCTCGCCAGAACAGGTGGCTCAAGGCTTCATCCACCCTGGCTTTAAGCACTGCCAGGGTTGGGGCAGCCACAGCCTCCCTGGGCAACCTGTGCCAGTGTCTCACCACCCTCACAGGGAAAACTTCTGGCTAAGATCTGATCTAAATTTCCCTCTTTCAGTTTCTCCCCATTACCCCTTGTCCTGTCACAGCAGCTTCTAACAAAGAGTCCCTCTCTGGCTCCCCTGTAGCCCCTTCAGATACTGATAGGCTGCTTTGAGGTTTCCACACAACCTTCTCCAGGCTGAACAGCCCCAGCTCCCTCAGCCTGTCCTCATAGGAGAGATGCTCCAGTGCTCTTAGCAACTTTGTGGCCTCCTCTGGACTTGCTCCAACAGTTCCATGTCCTTCTTATGTT